CACGAAGCCCCCCGCGCGTCGGGAGAGGAGAGCGTCTCGCTGCCCAGGCAGTGTGAGGCCCCTGCCCCGCAGACCTCCGCCGGTCAGTATTTCGCCACCCTGCACACCTCGCTCTGCGACATTATTTCGTGCTCGGTGTCCAGGTCCTCCCCGGAGCTCCTGCGGGAGTGGTTGAAGAAGGCAGAGCCGGCGGAGGAGCTGGGAGAGATGCCCAAATCCCCCCCCAAGCCCAAGAACGGCTCCAAGATCCCCGAACCTCAGAAGCCCACCAAAGGCAAGGAGATCTGGCTGGCTTTCCAGGATGTGGCCGCTCTTCTCACCAACCTGCTCTCTCAGCTGGAGACCTTCATGTTCGCTCGCAAGTGTCCTTTCCCCCACGTAGTCCGGGCAGGGGCCGTCTTCATCCCCATCCACGTGGTGAAGGAGAAGCTCTTCCCCAAGCTCGCCGGGGCCTCCGTTGACCAAGTGCTCCAGGAGCACAAGGTGGAGCTGCGCCCCACCACGCTCTCGGAGGAGAGGCACTTGAGGGACCTGGAGCTGAAGAGCTGCACGTCACGCATGCTGAAGCTCCTGGCGCTCAAGCAGCTCCCTGACATCTACCCGGACCTGCTAGCACCCCAGTTGCAGATGCTTTTATATAGGAATAGCTCATGGAGAGATCTTGTCAACTTTGATTAAATTGTCAAGTTCATTGTGCTCTTTCTTAGAAATTTCTTATTCTTACTGAAATAGAGCGAGCCATTTCTTATTCTATTTCACTGATAATTAAAATGCAATTAGTTAGATCAGTTTTCACAAATATTTCTCAAAAAGCTTTCCTTTTTGTCATGCACAAAGAGGAGAGAATAGCAAACAAGATCAACTGTTGTCATGGTAATGTCATGTCCCAGCAGGTGAAAAACTCAGTCCTGTGGCACTAAAAAAGAAGGATGAAATGTACTGAACCTAAGCACAACATCAACTAAAGCTCAACAGGCTAAATGTTTTTTCATAGACTGGCATCTTTTTAAGCAACACATTTAGAGAGGCAAATGTTAAAAAAAAGAAAAAAGGGCAAACTCTGGTGACATTAGTAATTATTCAAATGTCTCAGAGTAATTTTATTAGGCAGAAATTTATATTGATATGTTGTACAATTTTGGAAATCTCTGTGCAAAATTTAGCACAATTTTTAAACATTATAAGGGACTTGAAAACAGAAGATAATTTTTAATTTCAAGACAGATACAAGAAAAATATGCTGAATAATTTTAAGGGTTAGATGCCAGAAGCATCATTCAAAAACAGCTCTTCATGCTCCAAAAGTTCTGTTTTCAGAACAGGTAATATTACAGCCTTCAAGTAAGACTGTACAATCAATTTTTCATCTTCTGTTAAGCTAGGATGGTATATATAAACACTAAACAAATTTATGAGTTAACCAAAACAAAGTACTATGGGCCACCAC